GTGGGAAAGATCCCCTGGAGAAGGGATAGGCTACCCACTCCAGTATGTTTGGGCTTCCCTGGTGGCTCAGATGGTAAATAATTTGCCTACAATGTGGGAGACCTGGGTTCAATCCCTGGATTGGGAAGATCCCCTGGAGGAGGGCATGAAAATCCATTACAGTATTCTTGCATGGAGAGTCCACATGGACAGGGGAACCTGGTGGGCTACAGGGTGTTGCAAAGAGTCAGACACAACTGAGTGACTAAGCACAGCACACACACACACACACACACCACAGAATTTTTATTCATTCATTGTAGATGGGTACTTAAGTCCTTTCCATATCTTGTCTACTGTAAGTCACACTGTAATGAATATAGAGGTGCATGTGTCTTTTCAATTTTTTTTTATAAATATCAAGAAGTGGAATAGCTGGATAATATTTTTTTTGAGAAATCTCCCTACTGTTTTCCAATGACTGCATTAATTCATATTCCCATCAATGATATACAACAGTTCCCTTTCTCTACATCTTCTCCAACATGTTTTATTTCCTTTTTATGATAATAGCCATTCTAATAAATGCAAAATGATATTTTGTGGTTTTGATTTGCATTTCTGTAATAATTAATAGTGTTGAACATCTTTGCATGTGCCTGTTTCAGTCTCTATGTCTTCTTTGTAGCAATTTGTGTTCAGCTTCTCTGCAAATTTTTCAATAAAGTTTGCTTTTTGGTGTGAAGTTGTGTGAGTTCTTTATATTTTTGAATATTTACCCCTTATCAGATAAACGGTTTGCAAATATCTTCTTCCATTCAGTGTGCTGTCTTTTCATTTCGTTGTTTCCTTTGTTTTACAGAAGCTTTAGTTTGATGTAGTCCTATTTGTTTATTTTTATTTTCTTTCCCAAACTTGAAGAGAAATATCCAGAAAGATATTTCTAAGGCTGATGTCAAAGAATGTACTGCCTATGTTTACTTATAGATTTCTGGTTTCAAGTCATATTATTCAAGTCTATAACAAATTTTGAGTTGATTTTTGTGTATTGTAAGAGATGGTGGTCTAGCTTCACTCTTGCATGTGGCTATCCAGTTTTCCCAGCGCCATTTATTGAATACACTATCCTCTCTCCCTTGTGTTTCCTTTGCTCCTTTATCATAATTTAATTATCCATATATGTGTGTGGATTTATTTCTGGTCTTTAAAAATTCTGCTTCATTGATCTATGTATCTATTTTTCTGCTAATAAAATGTTGTTTTAATTACTATAGTTTTATAATATATTTTGAAATCAGTGAGTGTGATAGTTCCAGCATTGTTCTTTATTATCAGGGTTGCTTTGACCATTCAGAATCCTTTGTAGTTCCATATAAATTATAGAATGCCTTTTGTTCTATTTCTATGAAAATTGTTATTGAGATTTTGATAGGGATTGCACTGAATGTTTATTTTACTTTAGGTAATAGGAATGTTAACCATGCTAATTCTTCCAATCCATAAGCACAAAATATATTTCCACTTCCTCTCCAGTTTCTTTCAACAGTGTTTCATAGTTTTCGGTATATAAGTCTTTCAATTCCTTAGCGAAATTTATTCCTACATATTTTATTCTTTTTTTTATGATTGTAAATGAGACTGGTTTTTAATTTCTCTTTCTGCTTGTTCACTGTTAGTCTATAGAAACACAGTGGATTTTTATGTATTGATTTTTCGCTCCACAACTTTCCTTGCTTGTTATATTTCTAATAGTATTTTGGTAGAAAGTTTAGAGTTTATATATATATAAGTATGTCATCCAAAAATAGTGAAAATTTTGCTTCCATTTTTCCAATTTGAGTGCCTTTTATTACTTTTTCTTGCCTAATTTCCCTGGCTAAGACTTCCAGTACTATATTGAATAAGTATTCTTGTCTTGTTGCTGATATTAAAGGGATATCTTTAGGTTTTTCACAATTGAGGATGGTGTCAGCTGTGATTTTCTTGTATCTGGCCTGTATTATATTGAGGTATGTTCCTTCTATAACTGTTTTATTCAGCATTTTTTTTTCTTTTTATTTTAAATAAGTGCTAAATCTTATCAAATGCTTTTTTTGGTATCTATTGACATAATTATACAATTTTTATCTTTCATTTTGTTAATGTGGGTATCATGTTGATTGATTTACAAATATTGAACCATCCTTGCTTCCCTGGAATAAATCCTACTTGTTCGTGGTGTATGATCTTTTTAATATATTGCTGTTTTTAGTTTGCTAATATTTGTTGAGGATTTTTGCATCTACATTCATCAGAAATATCTGGTGTAATTTTCTTTGCTTCTTTTTTTTTTTGTGAGTTGTCTTTGTCTGATTTTGATACAGGGTAATGTTGACGTCATAAAATGAGTTAGGAAGAGCTCCTTCCCTTTCAGTTTTTGATTCTTCCCTTGATGTTTTTCACTGATCCAATAGTTGTTTAGTAGCATGTTGTTTATTATACACGTATTTTTGATTCTCCAGCTTTCTTCTTGTAGTTGATATCTAGGTCATACCATTGTGATCTGAAAAGATCTTTGAAATTATTTTAATCTTATTTACTGAGATTTGTTTGTGTCTCAACATATGATCTATCCTTGAGAATGTTCCATGTGTACTTAAGCAGAATATGTATTCTACTGTATTTGTATGGCATGTTCTGTATATATCTGTTAAGTTCATCCAGTCTAATGTTTCATCTAAGGGCACTGTTTCCTTATTGACTTATGGTCTGAATAACCTATCAACTGATGTAAAGGAGGTGTTAAAATTCCTACTATTATCATATTGCTGTCAGTTTCTCACTTTAGGTCTGTTAATAATTGCTTTGTATATTTTGGTGCTGCTTAATAAGGCAAATGAATAACTATGATGTCTTCTTGATGAATTGTCCCCTTTATCATTATATAATATCTATCTTTGTCTCTTGTTACCTTTTTTGACATGAAGTATATTTTTTCCTGAAATGCGTGTGGCTACACCCACTTTGTTTTGTGTGCCATTTGCTTGAAGTATCATTTTCCACCCCTTCACTTTCAGCTTATTTTTTTCTTTAGAGTGGAGGTGAGTCTTTGGTAGGCAGCATATAATTGGGTCTTTTTTTTTTAAATCAACCCAGCTATTCTTTGTCTTTTGGTTGATTAATTAATTTACTTATCATGAGAACTTGGTTCTGCCATTTTACCTTTTTCTCATTCCTCTGTATCTCCATTGTTTCTTCTTCATTGTGTTTCTGTCATCAAAACTATCAGTTTGATGTTTTTTACAAGATTGATCTCAGTTTCCTCTCCTTTATGTTTGTGACTCTCCTCTAGATTTATGATTTATATTTTGTTGTCCCCATGAGCTTCATATAAAACATCTCAAATGAAGTAGTCCTATTTTTTGCTGATAGCATCTTATCTTCATTTGTCTATATGAGTTTTATTCTTTTCCTCTTCTGTTTATGCTTTTTTGTCTCAAGTTGTCCTTTTTATATTGTAAGTTCATAACAATTGTGTTATTTTTACTTCATTTTCCCTTTAAACTTTATGCTATAAATAGATGTTTAAACACTTATTCTGATACAAAGTTGTGAAGTTGTAAAGTTCTGATTCTATCTATTCATCACTTTCTTCAAAGTTTTGTGTGCTTTCACCTTTTGTTTACTGTAGAAGAGTTCCTTTCAAAATATCTTATCAAGTGTTGATGAACTCCCCATAGCTTTTGTTTGCCTGGGGAAACCTTTATTTCTCCTTCATATATAAATGATATCTTGTTCTATAGAATATTTTTATCTGACAGTTATCTTTCAGTACATTGAGTATGTCAATTTACTCTCTTCTGGTTTATAGTGTTTCTTCTGAGAAAACTGCTGATAGCCTAATAGGGATTCCTTTGTAGATTACTGTCTGAATGCCTTTAAAATTGTTTCTTTGTCATTAATGTCTGACAGTTTTAACATAATTTATCTTGGAACATTTTTTTTTTTTTGCATTGAGATAATTAGGAGTCTTCTTAGCTTCTTGAACTTGTATCCATTTCCTTCTTGAGGTTTGAGAAGTTCTCAGCTATTATTTCTTTATAAACTCTTTGATTCTTTCTCCCTCTCATCTCCTATAATTCTCAATGCACTAATGTTGCCCTTTCTAATAGAGTCAGCATTTTATGTAGAATTTCTTCCTTTTTTATTTTTATTTTTAAAATTTAAAGTTTATGCTCTATTTATAGTTATTATAAATTATTGACTATTTTCTGTGTTGTAAAATATAGCTTTGTATCTTACTTTATACATAATATTTTATGTCTCTTTTTTTTTAGGTATTAATTCTCTCTTTTCTAGCTGTTTCATTTCTAGATTTCTATATTCAAGCTAACTAATTCTCTCTTCTACACAGTCGGCCCTATTTTTAATGTTTTCTAATTCATTCTTTATTTTGTTTATTGAGTTCTTCAGCCATAGAATTTCGTTTTTATTCTTTTTAGAGTTTTTATCTCTTTGGTGAGTGTTCTTTTTGTTTATTCATTATATTCCTAAGTGTATTGTTCTAGCTTTCTCAATTATCTTTTAGATCATTGAATTTGTATGACAGCTATTTTGAATTCTCTGTTAGTAGATCACAATATTCAGTGACTTGAAATTCAATTTCTGAAGAATTGCAATTTTCTTTTGTGCTACTGTCTTTCTTCATGGTGCTTGATGAGATGTTACTCTGTTGGTGCATTTGAAATAGTGAGTACCTTTTGGCTAGTACACCTGACGAAGGGAATGTCAACCCACTCCAGCATTCTTGCCTGGAAAATCCCATGGACAGAGGAGCCTGGCAGGCTACAGTCCATGGGACTGCAAAGAGTCGGACTCAACTGAGTGACTAACACACACTTCTTCTAATGAGAACCTTTCTTCTTGAGGCAAAGCTTTTCTTTTTTTTACTTGATTCTAAAGGTTTAACAGGTTAGTAGTTAGAGGCCTTTCTCTGTTTTCCAGTAGGTGTCACTATAGTACAAGTTTTTAGTTTCTCCTACCTGTGCTTCCACTGGTTACTCTTAAGAGGAGGCGCTTTCCTCCCGCCATGCACATGTCGGAGATGTCACCTGATCCCCTTGTCGCCGTGCCTTTGGAATTATTGGCGCTTCAGTGTTGCTGGCGCAACTGATGACATCTTTTGGGGACTGGAGTGGTGGGTGTTTCCACCATATCTAGGGTTTCCTGGCTAGCAGGCTCCACCGCCACAGGAGAAGGGGACGACAGAGGATGAGATGGTTGGATGGCATCACTGACTCAATGGACATTAGTCTGAGCAAATTCTGCGAGACAATGAAAGACAGGGAAGCCTGGTGTGCTGCAATCATGGTGTCATAAAGAGTCAGAAATGACTGAGCGAGTAAACAGGCAACAACAACTGCCACAGGGGAAAGGGCAGATTGAGGGTGAAGCTGGGGTTGCAAGTGTCCCTTCTGTGACCAGGGTTGTCTAGTTTTGGGGTGCCACCACTGTAGGTTGGGAGGAATAGTCGCAGACACTGCCACAACTGGAGCGACAGGGTCACAGGCCACACTGTCGCTGCTGTCTGATTCCCTGCGGCCAGGAGGCTAGTGACCCGTGCAGTGCCTCCCCTGATGCTACTCGATTCCCTAGGGCTGTGAGCTCAACGTTTGTGTCAGGGGGTCTGGGGTCACATACACCATCTCCCCTGTTCCCAGGTTTACCCCTCCAGTATATGTTCCAACCCACTCACCCTTACATGTTTAGATGTGTGCAGTTCTCTGGTGTCCTGGTGTTTGGGACAGAGGGTACTTTTGTCGAATTATCAATGTTTTACTCGTAGATTGAAGGGGATAGACCAAGGGAGCATCACAGTCACTCTATACTTTTCATCTTAATCATAAGGATTTTCTTAAAGTGAAAGTTTTTTTTAAATAAAGTTTAGTTTATTATTTTTAAAATTTTATGGATCCTTCTTGTGGTATTATACCTAACAACTCTTACCAAGCACTAGGTCCTATAGATTTTCTACTATGTGTCCTTCTAAAAGTTTATGGATTTCAGTCTAAATCTGTGATTCAAGTCAATAGTTATACAAGGTGTAAGGCTGAAGTTAAGATCTTTTTTAAAAAAAAAATTTGCTTACAGATATTAAATTACTCAAATTTACTTAAATTAAATTATTCAACACTTGTTAAAAGGATATACTCCCTGCATTGGATTAGATTATTTTTGTAGTTTTAAAAAAAATCAGTCCGGTGGGACTGTTTCTGGATTCTCAGTTCTGTTCAACTGATCTGTGTCTATCCCTCCATTATTATTATTATTTAGCTGTATAAGTCTTCAGATGAAGCACCTCTTTCACTTTATCGTTTTTTAACAAAATTATTTTAGCTATTCTAGTTCCTTTGCCTTCTTATATATTAATACATTTTGGAACAATTTGCAGATATACACAAACAATTTTTAGGATTTTGAAAAGAATTTGGGGGAATTGATCTTTTTACTATGTAGGAATTTTCAGTCCATGAACATGGCATATCTCTCCATTCCTTAGAACTTCTTTGAGTTCTTGCAACAACATTGGCTAGTTTTCAGCAAACAAGTTCTTTGTTTATTTAGACTTCAATCTAAGTATGTTACTTTTATTTTAAACAATTTTATGTGACATCGCATATTTAATTTCAGTTTCCATATATCCATTGATAGTATATAGAAATACAATTGATTTGTTTAAATTTTGACCTTATATGCTTTAACTATTCCTCTTCCCTTCATGAAGAGGAACTAAAGAGCCTCTTCATGAGGGTGAAGAAGGAGAGTGAAAGCACCGGCTTAAAACTAAGTATTAAAAAAACTAAGATCATGGCATCTGGCCCCATTACTTCATGGAAAATAGTGAGGGAAAAGGTGGAAGTAGTGGCATATTTCCTTTCCTTGAGCTCTAGAATGACTGTGGATGGTGACTATAGCCATGAAATCAGAAGATGATTGCTTCTTGGCAGGAAAGCTGTGACAAACCTAGACAATGTGTTGAAAAGGAGAGACATTACTCTGCCGACGAAGGTCCATAGAATCAAGGCTACGGTCTTCCCAGTGGTCACATACAGTTGGTAGAGCTGGACCATAAAGACGGCAGAATGCCGAAGAATTGATGCCTTTGATCTGAGGTGCTGGAGAAGGCTCCTGAGAGTCCCTTGGGCAGCAAGGAGATCAAACCAGTCAATCTTAAGGGAAATAAACCCTGAATACTCCTTGGAAGGACTGATTCTGGAGCTGAAACTCTAGTAGTTTGTTCACATCATCTGATGTGAACAGGTGACTAATTGGAAAAGTCCCTGATGCTGGGAAAGATTGAGGGCAAAAGAAGAGGGTGTCACAGGATGAGACGGCTGGATGGCATTACCAATGCAATGGACATGAACTTGGGCATATTTTGGGAGATGGCAAGGAACAGAGAGGCCTGGCATGCTGAAGTCCATGGTGTTGCAAAGAGTCAGACACGACTGGGTGATTGAACAACAAAAATGCTATAACTGAACTCATTTATTCTAAGAAATTTGTTTTGTGCATTTCTTGGAATTTTCAATATAGACTGTTATTTTATCTACAAATAGGGACAATTTTCAACTTTATTCTTTCTATTCAATCTGTATATCTTTCATTCTCTTTTATTTGTTTATTTTGCCTTATTATGATGACTAGGACTTCCAGTGTTCTTGCCTGGAGAATCCCAGGGACAGGGGAGCCTGGTGGGCTGCCATCTATGGGGTCGCACAGAGTCGGACATGACTGATGTGACTTAGCAGCAGCAGCAGAACTTTCAGTACTATGTTGAATTGCAGTAGTGAGTGTGAACATCCTTCTCTTATTCCCAATCTTTGGGTAAAAGCACCAGTCTTTTACCATTAAGTATAATATTAGCTGTAGGATCTTTTTAATAAATATTCTATATCAAGTTGAGGAAGTTTTACGCTATTCTCAGTTCTGTGCAATATCACAAATGGTTGTTCAGTTTTGTTGAATGCTTTTTCTGCATCAGTTGATGTCTAGTGAATTTTGTTTGTAGTCTATTCATATGGAGAATTACTTGATTGTGTTTCAAATACTGACCAAGCCAATTTTCTTTTTTTCTATAAAATGTTGCTAAAGGGATGTTATAGTTTCTAACTATAATTTTTGATTTGTCTATTTCTCCTTTCAGTTCTGTTAGTTTTTGGTTAATACATTTTAGAATTATGTTGTTGGAATTGCTATAATTTCTTAATGGATTGGCACTTTTCTCCTTAAGTGATGTTTCTTCTGTCTCTCCGTCCCTGGCAATTTTCTTTGCTCTCATGTCTACTTTATTTCATTTGAATAGAGCCCCTTCTTCTTTTGTTTGGTTCATGTTTTCATGGCATATATTTTTTCTTTTTCTTTTACTTTCAACTAACCTATATTATTACATTCAAGGTGAATTTCTTATAGACTATGTATATAGTTGAATCATTTTTTTCATTAATTTTATTAGTTGGAGGCTAATTACTTTACAATATTGTAGTGGTTTTGTCATACATTGACATGAATCAGCCATGGATTTACATGTATTCCCCATCCCGATCCCCCCTCCCACCTCCCTCTCCACCGGATTCCTCTGGGTCTTCCCAGTGCACCAGGCCCCAGCACTTGTCTCATGCATCCAACCTGGGCTGGTGATCTGTTTCACCCTAGGTAATATACATGTTTCGATGCTGTTCTCTCAAAGCATCCCACCCTCACCTTCTCCCACAGAGTCCAAAATTCTGTTCTGTACATCTGTGTCTCTTTTTTAATCCACACTATTAATCTACATTGTTTGATGCATTTAGACCATTTACATTTAATTTACCTATGTATGAATCAGGATACATTCTACTACTTTTTGGTTTTGTTTTGTTTTCTGTTTGATTTTTCTGTTTTTAGTTTCTGTTTACTTTTTCCTGCCTTACAGTGGGTTATTTTGCACTTTTTAGAATTGCATTTTGACTTAGTATAATATATTTTAGTTTATTTGTATAGCATTTTAGTGGTTATTTGGGATGTTACATTTTATATGGCAAACTTGTCACAGTCTACTAATTTCAACATGTTACCATTATAAGCTAAGTGTAGAAACCTTGCCTCTCTTTAAATCCATTCACTCTCCCCACTTATAGTATAACTGCCTTCATTATGTCTTCTACATATATTGAGAGCCACATCAGATGATAAGTTTTGCTTCAATAATCAAAATAATTTAGAAAACAAAAGATGAGAATGAAAGTTTGTTATATTTACACATGCATTTGTTCTTTGCTCCTTCCTGATGGAAATAAACTCTCTTACTTTTCCTTCATCTGAGACTAGTTTGATTTTCTTTTTATTTCTGAAGTATATTTTTGCTGGTGAGAGAATTCTGAGTTGACAGTTCTCTACTTTAGCACTTGAAAAATTTGCCACTTGTTTCAGGACTCCATGGTTTTGGAGGAGATATCTTATTTCATTCAAATTGTTTTTCTCCTACAGGCAAAGTGTTATTTTTCATGGGATATGTTAAAAATAATATTTTGTTTTAGTTTCTGAAAGTTTTACTGTGGTTCATCTTCTATGGGGCTTGACTTGTTTGGGGTTTGCTAAACCTGTTGAACTGATAGGTTTATGTCTTATGCTGAATTTGCGATACTACCAATCATTATTTTTTCAAATATTTTTTCAATATAACTGTCTTTATCCTTTGTTTCTGAGATCCACCCCCCAATGGCATAAATGTTATATCTTTTGTTACAGTCCAACAAGTCCCTAAGGATATGCTTTGCATTTTTGTTTTGTTTGTTTTTGCAGTGTATTTTCTCTTTGTTGAACAGACTAGATCATTTCTATTCCGCATTTGAATTTATTGACTCTACTCTGTCCTCTCCATTCTTCCACTGAACTCACTCTTTGAGCTTTCAATTTTGGTATTGCATTTTTTGGTTCTAAAATCTCATTTTAGGGAATTCCTTGGTGGGCCGCTGGTTAGGACTCTGCATATTTACTGCTGAACTCACTGGTTCAATCCCTGGTTGGAGAACTAAGAACATCTGCATGTGGCACAG